CTTTAGGAGGGGTGCCACTGGGTGTGTCGATGGAGAACTTCTCCATTGGGGGGAAGGGGGAGCAACTCTGAGCCTTTGCCCTGGGTGACCGAATGTCTACCCTCCCCACTGTAAGCAAGACCCTTTAGCCATAGCTTAAGCTGCCAGTTAGATCTTAGCCCCCTTAATTGAACATTAACATTAAAATATGTAGTGAGATTAGATTAGAAAGGCATAGCATAGACAAATGCAACAGCCAACAATCATATAAATAAAATCAAATATATGAATATAAATATATAATTTACTTATAAATAAAGTAAATATTAAAGTATACCTTAACCCAATCACTACAGTTTCATATAAGCTGCACCTTCTTAAAGGAGAACTATGGGGTTAAGGCTTTTCCCCATAGTTCTCCTTGGGGTAACGGGAGGACACAAACTAGCGTCCTCCCGTCACCCTAAGCTCAGTATACCGCGAGCTACAGCTCGCGGTATACTGAGACGCCGCAGCTGAAGTGGATCCCGACAATTATGTCTGGATCCGCCCAGCTGCGTGAGTGACAGCTGGCTCTGCCTATCTAGAGGCATAACCAGCTGTACCCGCCCTCTCCCCCATCCGATCCACCAGTCAGCGCTGGTGGATCGGAGCGGGGAGGGGGGAATCCAGCCCCTCCCCTGTCATGGCAGAGAGCTGTGACAGGATCGAGAGGTGAGCGAACGCCAGTAAGTGTTCGCTCACCTCCCGATCTACTGAGCCGACCTGTGACAGTCTCATTGTCACAGGTCGGCTAGAACTATGAGGTGAGTGAAAAGCACTCACCTCATAGTTCTCTTTTAATGTAATTTCTGAAGCTGAAGTGTTCAATTTGTTTAGATCTACAGGTTTAATTGAATACTTAGTGGTTTTACCACCAAGGTCCTTGTTCAGGTACCCCCATTTTTGGTGTAACATCCTTCTCCCAGTTGTGCTCCAGTATTGTCACCCTGTCACATACAATCTTGCTTGAAAATCAGGCGACCATGCTGACACACATCGTGTGTGGGTGTGTGTATGTATGTGCATATATATATATATACTGTATATACACAATGTGTGTCAGCATGGTCGCCTAACTTTCAAACAGTGTTATTTACAGTATGCTACTGACAAGAATAATCCCAGTACCCTGTTTGCCTTTAAATAAACAGTTTAGTTTACTGCAAAGCTTCTATACTGAACGTCTCATAGCTTTTATATTAATTTATTTCTGTATCAGGAGCAGCAGAATATAATGAAAGGATTACGTGAAGATGCTGCTCCAGCAATATGATTTTTAACCTGCCTTAAGCTGAAAAGTTAGAGGGTCACTCATCATTTACTTACATACAGTTTCTTGCTGCCAGATCTCGGTGGACAAACTTTTTGCTTGCAAGATACTCCATACCTTTAGCAACTTGTAGACCAAATCCTATGAGGTCTTTCACTGTTGGATTCTGAAACAAGACAAATATGCTAGCATGCAATACTACTCCAAGTTAAGAAAACATTTATCTCTGGAATAGTCAGGTCAGCCAATTCTAGCCTTTATATTGATTCACGTTTTCTAAATATGGCTTCAGTTTTTAGCATTATTAGATAAACCACCATTTTTAAAGTGCAACTGAAGCCAAAACTTTTGGATATAGTTGAGAGGGATTAAAACACCTGTCATGTTTTTACTGATACCTGTGTCCGTTAGGGAGATTCACCCTCCCTATTTGTCCTGGTGACTGTTATCAGTGAAAGTGAAAGAAAATCCAAAATGTTGTATTGTCATCAGAACAGGAATAGCTGGGAAATCTTCTAATGTGGACAATAGTTCTGGAGACCCTGCTGACAACCAGGGATTTCCCTCACTTTGGAGGGATTTCCCCTCACTTCCTGTTGTGGCCATCAGACAAGAAGTAAAGGAAAATCTCACCAATAGAAGACAGATGGCAAAAAAAGCTAACAAGCGTTATAACCCTCCCTAACTCTATCCAAAACTTTAAAAAATTTTTGACTTCAGTTTTACTTTAAGTGGTCTAATCATGCAGAACACCATAATTTTGTGAGCCTCTGCTCACAAATTGGCCTGATGTTTTCAGTTTTATGAGCAGATCAATTTGCTACACCATAAATTAAGGTGTTATTATAAATGTATAGTAATTGCATATGATGAACACAGATCAACCACATATTTAGAACGCTGTAGTACAGGTCATGTACACTTACGTGAGCTTCATTTCTGATAAAGTTCCTGAGATCCCCATGTTTCATGAAAGGCAGTACTACCAGAGGGGAACCCTCAGTGGGAAGGCAGATGCCTAACAAGGAGAGGACGTTTGGATGAGTGAAATCTTTCATGATGATGCCTTCCTTGAGAAACTGGGAAACTTCTTCAATATCTGTGATTCCTTAAAAATTGCACCAAAACCATAAATCAGTTTAATATGAATTGCAAATGTTATTCAAATGCATGTTTATTCGGGTTAACTGGGACAACTCTGGAAGACATATATAGAGCCTGCAAAGGGTGGAAACTACAATTTGTAAGCCTTACTTACTAAAAAAAAAAAAAAGCTATGGAAAGGTAAAAAAGTTCAGACATATACCTGCAGTAGCTCTCAGTCCCTTTTTGTCTCCCACACATATACTATTCTTCTAGTCCAACAATCTGTTTTAGTAATGGACCAATAAGAATGCATGGGTAAAAAGGAACTGGGCAAGATTTAACATTACTCAAAGTGTTGCAACTTTGCCCAATCAGAATTGCCCACCATTCGGGTGGGTACAGGAAGTTGCTGCAGATATGTGCAGGCATTTGGTGACAGATTTACTTAAAAGTAAAATAGAATATGCATGTTTCATGAATCTTTCCTGGAGAGCAATATCTAATGAGTAGATGTTTCATTACTTTTAAAACAAATCCTTTCTGCAACCCACTGCATATTGCTTACATCCATTTATCACTTAACTAAACATAATAAAACTGCTAATTTATGTGCTTGAAAAGGCCACCACTCCACTCCTGATGACCACAACAGTCTTTTTGCTCTTATTTATAGGCGCTGAGAGCTGCCTGTCAACTGTCAGAGAAACGCGACGCAGCAGTTTGCACACAAGAATCATCATGAGGATCTCAGGTAAGGCATTCACAACACACTAAACGAAAAGCATGGGGGGTTGGGGAGCAAAAACATATGCAACATGGCAAGGCTGCTATAATCTTAAAATGGGAGCATTGCATACGCTACTGCTTCCATGGCATTCTGTAGTCCTCCCACCAGATCCCATGCCGCTACATTATACAGTGGTGTTCAATGATGAGCGAGAAGTATTTTCTTTCTTATTTCAGGGGCCACATATATTAGCACTTTTTGTTTTCATCAACTAAGTTGCTTTAAATGTGCAGTGATTAGCACTAAATATTTTCTCCAAAAAGCTTTTCAAGAAGCCTGTGCTATTTCTATGTCCAATTGTGCTCTAGAGCTATCTGCTATGTTTCTGCTTAATAACTTATGACTCACTGGGGTTGATTTACTAACCTTATAAACACACCACGAACATGTATACACCTCTGTAGTGTGTTCCCTCCCAGCATGATCTATGGGTGGAATCTAAACACCTTTGTAGCGTGTACACACCCAGCAGGTGTGTTGTGCAAAGCCAAGCATGAATTGCAAGGTGATGTTGTGTAAATTAGCTCTATGTTGTGTTGCTTGCGTTGATGAATGCAGGAATGTAAATGCATGAGCTAACCATTTTTGTCTAAACTGTGAAGCAGCATTATATATGCATCATGTGCATGATTTTTGCATATATGGCATTAGTGGAAATATGCTTTTAGAGACTTTTTGGTTGATAAATTCGTTTTGCTGTGTGAAAATTACACGCACCTGGTGCGTGCGTGTGTTTAGGTTAGTAAATCACCCCCACTGACTTGGAACAAGTATGTAGGTAGGTAACAAGAACAAGGACTGTGATGTCAGCCCTGGAGTTTTCATCTTTAAAAAGAAGCCAGCAATGTTACTGTTACTATATGGCGCAATACATGTAAAACTTTGATACATATTTTGTAACTGTTTGAAGTTATATTATTTTTAGTGTAGGTTGACCATTTATTTTAAATCAAACATTTTTAGAGATACTTACTGTTTAAAGATTTGACTGCACAGTGTATTTTCTTCCCATCAGTATCTAAAAGAGTACCATGATATACACATCCAAAATGTCCTGCAATTAAACCACTGGTTATTTTTCTGCTGCGTGTTGACAATGGTCATGTATATTTGATTAAAATGAAAAATAGGATGCAAAACAACAATCAACTTTACACTCGTTTTCTTTAGTTGTCACAGTCATGCTCCCTGTCCACATCTCACAGAGCTGTGCCCGATGCCTTAGTAAACTAAATACAGTGAATTTGCATTCACTTCAATATTCGAATCACATACAAGCAAAAATCCTGTTTTTTATGTTCCTTGGACATGATTGGGTATTCAAAGTGAACACAAATTTACCTTTACTAATCTAAGTGAACATTTACTTAGAAATGTACATTCTCTTTGTTAAGTGAACAGTTTCTGCTCCTTTAGTAAATAAATACCTTTAATTTATTTAAAGAGCAATACAATAGAATACTTGTCAGCATTATTTTTGTAATTGAGTCTAATTTGCTATGACAAAAGTCAAACTTACCTCTTCCAATGACTTTATTGAAGTGCACAAGAAGGCGATCCACTCCAATAACCATGTGTTCAACTTTTTTCATAAGGTCTGCACTTAAGGCATTTATATCAATGTGAACATATGTCTGCAACAACGGGCTAGCAATGTCTGAATCTCCACTTGACAATATAGGGGAGAGGTCCCGGTGAGGGTATTGAGTTGGTCGGCATGATCCACTATGAGACGAGTTTGGAAACTGATCTACAAAATTGTAAAAGATATACCGGATGTCACAAAATGTTACAGACTTTGAAGAGGCAATTTAAAAGTAATATAACATTCAAAGCGGACCTTTACACTCAAAAATCATATTCTACCAATGCAACCCTCTATGTGTGATGATTAATAATAACATAGACATGTTAGGTGTAAAATGCTGTGATTTTAAAAAACTTACACTTGCAGAACATTCACTTCCTGCTTTAACAGGGCAAAATTACTTCAGTTTGCGAAAACAATGCACACTGGGATTGCCTTGTCATCAGTAGAGCATTGCTGGGAAATCTCATCTGTAATCTCAAGACATCTGAGGGAAAGGCATTTTCCTCCCCTGAGATTATGTGCATGGTCACATGTCCTAGTCACATGTCTAGTCACATGTGCCAGAAATGCAAAGAATGCAAAGCCGGCAATTATCTAGAAGTATGTGTTTGTAAATTGTCATTACTAAACATTTCTAAAGGTGTGTTTGTTGTTATTTTAAAGATATGGGTAAAGGTCCTCTTAATGAAAACAGTGTTTAGTTATGCAGCAGTTCAATAATTACTAAAATGTTTGGGTTGAGTTTGTCTGTATCAGTATTAATGTTACACAGTAAAATTAAATTCACTCCCTTCAACATATACCCAACACTATGTACGAGTACCCACTTATAGGGGCTACCTTATGGAGCTTCCATAACACATGCAAAGAGTTGTCACTCAACACTTGGCTTGCTTACACCCATAAAGTAGATATTTCCAACTTGGCTTATCAGATTTCCTACTTGGCTTATCCAAGAACTTTTTAAGGGAACAACTACCACAAAAATGTGAGTGGGCCAGTTCTTAAGAAGGGGACTTTTCAGAGATGTGAACTGACAGATCAATCACTATTGACAAACATTCCTCGGGGTCATACCTTCAAATCAGAAACTATCTGAACAACTCCCAAACCAGACCTCTCTATGTGAGAGATCTTACATCTCTGGAATCATGACATTTCATGTGATCACCATAAAGACATCTTATCTCATCCATCTATATGGGCATGTTCACTTCTCATCCACCCAACATCGGCACAGCATGTAAATTGTGAGAAAAAGAACTGAAATTGACATTTACAAAGACGTCTTTCAATTATGGTCTTTCAAACATGCCCCCACTCTACAGGCATGATGAAGACTAGACAAAGTATCAGAGATGGAGGAATTAATCCACCGGACAGAATTACCAAATTTACCCTCACATAGTCCTGCTGCATGCATTACAAAGTACAAACAAATAATGTGTAACCCCACAAGGGGGTACTAGATAATGTGTAATTCACAAACAAATGGCTCAAACTGGATTTTTGGTGGGCATACATCTACTGACAAATGGGAGAGAAATGCTAGCAGGGGTGTTGGGTGGAGGAGAACACCACCTCTTACCATATTTTGCCCTCCTCTCATCTCGTTACCCATCCTGCCCTTTCCCTAATCTCTCATTCTTTCTTCCTCTGTCCCTCTCCCCTCACCTCCCCTCACCACCATCCTCTCCCCCAAACTTCTTCCTATTTGATTCCCACTGCAATCTTGTCCCTTTAATACTCTATTCTAGAGGGGCTGGGTTAACCTCACATATATCCAAGCTCCCCATTGATGCATTGACCATTCTTTGCTACCGGATAACCGAGTCGGCCTAAATCCCCCATGTAGGTGCATCTGCAGTTAGCCACATGTATTTTTTAAATCATTCTCCTATTGCCTCCAACAAATGTTACTGGAGAGTTCGATTCCTCCTTTCATTCCAAGGGAATTACTTCACTCACACAATTAATTGGGGTGATTATCTGACCAAATGTGAGATAAGAATAGGTGCTTAAATGCTGGCCTCCTGAGCCTATTTGAGGTACCTAGCCTTTTCCCTGTTTTAATGTGTACACATTTCTATGATCGCTACCTAATGTGTGTGTGTGTGTGTATATATATAGTATGCAACCAGAGAGGCTTGTAAAGTTTGATTGTATGTACAAAAATCAATAAAAAATATCATTATGAAAAACTAAACTGCATTATATGCTAAGTTCATAGCAAATATTTAAATACAAAGTGCCAAACCTGTTTATTTTGCACTGTTAATTACACAAATTATCCCACAAATGTACAGTTAGTTAACATTTTGATTATGTATCTACCCCACAAAATTGTGGATTCCACTGTATATTATTATTTAGATACTATACTACTTTTCTTATAATTTGCTGGCAGACAACCAGCTTGATTCTAAAAAGCTATTATGAAGAAAGTGAAATAATTAATCAAAGATTATTTTTCTGGCTTTAATGCGAATAATGCAACTATTATACTGTATTTACAGATTTTAAAATACATTCTTTATTTCAAGGTTTTTTCAAAACAATATATATACCTGTGGGCAGGTAAGTTTTCAGAGCTTTGTATATGAAATTGGAAACAAGGCAATGTGGGTAGGAATTAGCTTAGCTTTACTGTTAACTTTAAGATGCCCATACAAAGGCTAATTACCATGCATGAAAGGCTGTTTTAGACCTATTCTGCCAATACTTAGATGGTTATTCACTAAAGAGCTGCATGATATAGCCGTAGCTGAGCATGTTCAGCTGAACCGAATGGAAGCCGGAGCCAGCCGATGTATGGCTGATTTCAGCTGGTGTACAGCTGAAATCAGCCATACAGGGCTGAAGTGAATAGCCGAACGACGTTCGGCTCACTTCACTTCAGCCCGGTTATTCACTCGGCTGCCTTCGGCAGCTTAGTAAATAACCCCCTTAGTGTATAGACTACTCCAATATTTGACGGCATATTTTTTTGTACACTGTGTGGCAGGGATGAAAGATACAGTTGTACAAGGCTGACAGTGATCTATATATGCTGCCCCCTGCACAATACTGATGTTTCACAAGCCTGTTGTAGACTGGGCTGCCCACAGCAGAGACAAAAAAGCCTTGAATAGCCCAATCTGCCTAGGTATTGTCAGATTTAGAAATGCGGATCTCTTCATACTGTTTAATCATGGTCAGCCATTTTTCTGACTTGCACAAGCAACATCATATTACCCAGAACTTTACAATCAGATTATGTTGGTACGGTGGTTTGGATCAGAAAGAAATGTTACTTAAAGAGGAACATTACAGGCAATAAAAGTAAAAATGATTAATAAAGTCTTTTGCTGAAACATATTATAATACTTTATGTTAAATAAAAAAATGTTACCATTAAAAACATGTACATTGTTGCACAATAAGAATTAAATGAATAAACACTGGAGGAAAGGAGTACGCATTGCTCATATAAACTGGCAACCAACCAGTTTCTATCTGCAAGGTAAAAAAAGCAAGTATTGGCTACTAGCTGTATGCATTCTTTTTCACTCTAGTTATTTATTGATTTATTAATGTCTGTTTGATTAAATAGCTTTAAGGTGTTAAAAGCTGGGCAATAAAAAGTTAAATTAGAAAATGTTACTGGAATCACAAAAAGGTTTGTAGGTCATATCTGAGATTGTGTGTTTGTCTTAGAAAATCAAGGTTCAATGTACATGAAACCAAGGAAATGCCAGGAGGTGATTCATATCCTGCAGTCAGAAATGGGAGTTTTGTTAGAAGTCTTCCTCTTATCAGGCATGCAGAGAAGCAGATAGAAAAGGAAAAAGACTTATTTCATACACAAATCCCTTGTTATCTGATCAGCAGAGGGAATGGGACTAAACAATCTCATAAGCTAATCTTGAGGGGTGTTATACAGCATTGGATGTAGGGCTGAGCAATTCCCTATTGGCTTCGACTTAACTCAGAGGATTAAAGTATCCTTTACAAGGAAAACGCTAAAGCTTGTTCATTTCCATTGCTTCTAATAATAAAAATGCTGCATGATATTACTATATATATGCTATAAGTCACCACTTTTTAACACTGCAATCAGTTTCATTATTTAGAAAAGAAATTGCACTTTTAATTTTAGTAATACATATTTTTACCTAATAAAGTGTATAAACCAAACAGAAATTATTAGAATTAAAACATGTATTTCAGCGCAGAGAACTGTGGGTGTGCAGCATTGTAGCTACAGTACATGGATATGCAGTTGACTGCAATTCTATGGAAACCTTCACAACTTGTCTAAATATTAAACCTTCAGGGTTTTGCTTTAATTTTTATGAATGGAAGGCCCACACTTATGTAAATCCTCCGTTCTTGTTTAAAATGTTGACTTTCCTTGTTCTCCAGTTGGCCCCCGAACGGCTCTCCCCCCTACCTGTGTGCAGATGCCTACATCAGCTCACTGGCTGCTGAGGAGACACCCGTGCTTGTGAGTTCCCGGCCATGCCTGCAAGTAGCTGTGCGTGTCCATAGACACACACAGCCTGCGGCAGGCCACGCCCCTTGCCTCCCCGCAACAGAGGATAGCTTCACGGACCCAGTGGCGGTGACACGTGTTCACATGTTAGTGTTGGGAGGATGGGGGAAACAGAAAGGTACTGTGTGTTTACCTTAATGCAGAGAACGCATAAAGGCAAAAAACGCCTAGCCTTTAGTACTACTTTAAAGGGATCTTTGTTCTAATTAATCTGTACGAACCTTTAAAAATCAAACCAACCTGATATTGCTCACCAGGAAACAGGACAACTGTGTTAAAGGTAGATCAGCGAAAAGTGATGTATTATTTCTAGACACTGTAGTGTCTGGTGCATTGTTACTGTTCCTGGTTTCTTATATCTCTTGGGTACTCTTACATCAAGATCTCTCCGCTACAATACCTGACTCTGTTCTTGTCCACCTGGGAATTTTGGACGTTCCTGGCCCCTCCTGTTGCATTCTCCATATTATAAAATAAATAAAAATCCAGCAGAGTGTTCAGACCCAGGAATTTAACAGATACAGTATCTCGAGAGAAGTACAAAAAAATTATCAGGTGGTTTAACTCTCTAAAATGTACCGAAATCAGTTTAAATGGCATGACCCTTTTAATGGTTAGCCAAAAACATCTGCCAAACCTTTTTTTTTTTTTATTTGGTTTTGGTTGATATGTAAAAGGGCCAGAACAATAACTGTCCGTGTTGTTAACAATTCCCCTCATTTCCTCTTTCCGTGTGTTCCTGTGTGACCACACAGGAGAAGAGACAAAGACAGACCTGACAGAGTTAATTTTGTTTTCTCAGTCCAGGGACTATTAGGAGTCATTTGCACCCTGGAAATAGTAAGAGGTGGCCACAATACATGGCAAACCTACAACACAGATATTCGCAAACAGCTCTGTGAACATTTAACAAACACAACTCTGATTCTCAGCAGCATTGAGATTTAGATATAAAAAGTGCTTGCTGAAGTCCTTTACATTATATAATCTTCTGGTCTCTGGTTAACTCAAAACCTCTCCTAAATTACGGTAAGTGAACCCTTATGCTGCTTAATATCATGGTCCCATTATCCAAAAAAAGGGTACAGCCACAAAATAAATCTATCTATACACGTATCCTCATATAAGCAGAAAATAGTTTGTTTATTTACGGATACTGATGAACAACGTATATTCGATACCGGTGTTTGAATCATTACCTAGAGCTTAAAAGAGAACTATGGGGGAAACCTTTTTATCCCATAGTTCTCTTAAGGGTCACGGGAGGACATAAACTAGCATCCTCCGGTGACCCAAAGCTCAGTATATCGCAGCAATACTGAGAGCGCCGCAGCCGGGACGCATCCCGACAATGCTGTTGAGATCCACCCAGCTGCGTGAGTGACAGCGGGCTCTGCCTATCTAAAGGCAGAGCCAGCTGTGCCCGCCCCCTCCCCCATCCGTTTCTCTGCTCAGCTCCAGAGAATCAGAGCGGGGAGGGGGGAATCCCCGTGGGGAGCGGTGACTGACAGTCACGGTTCTCTGCAGGGAGATGATCGGAAAGTGAGCGAGCGACGTTATGCGTTCGCTCACTTCCCGATCTATAGAACCGATGTGTGACAGATTCATTGTCACACGTCGGCATGGCAGAGCTACAGTGTATATGTATATATGTTATTTATATATGTCTAATAAGCGACTGAGTCAAACTCGCAAGGGAGTTAATCTATCTAGTGTGGGTAAGTGTCTAACTTAGAATAATCCAACCTTAAAATGGCAAAAGAGAATCCTTGGCTACCTTTTTCACTGTTCTACCTTATTCTCAATAATATGTAATCCGGGGAAACTTTTGTATGAATCCTGCAGCAGTAACAAGAGTTCACTTGTTATATGAGGCTGACTAATATCAAAGCTCGTGGAATTATGACAAGTGGAAAGAGTGTTGATAGCTGCTATATTGCACATGATATTGCACAAATATGAATCATGAAATGAGAAACTGCTCAATATGAGGACCACAATTATGATTCACAGGTAAGTCACTAGCTTCAAAGACAATCTTAGAGTCATTACTACTGAAGTATATTTAAACTGTTTCTGAATGATACCAGTGAATGTACTTTAAAATAAGATGCATAAACAAATTTTTTGACCCAAGAGGTCCTTAAAGTGGAAATAAAGGGTGCTTTTAAAAAAAAAATCACTGACAGGCAGTTTTTTTTTTTACAGCAGAAGCGACTTTGTAAAACTCCTACCTGCCTGTCAGCAATTTTGCAGACTTGCCATGCCAAGGTGAAGTAACTCCCGTGTGCATGGACAGGAGAAAGTTCATGTCAATCAAGAGGCTGAAGACCCCGAACCCAGAAGAAGACCAGGAGAAGATTGCAGCGCCTGCGACAGAGGGGAGAATGGACAGTGCTGTGCTGGAGGGGGATCATTTTGAAGGTACAGTAAGCCGGCCATAATTTCCTGATACATTATGGCAAACAAATCCGCAGCATTATGGCAAACAAATACCAACACTTTACTTCAAATTTAAGGCTCAGGTCCAGGAAAAAAGTTTTATTTAGTTTTGGATTGAACTGGGAATGGTTTGAGCCTAAAGGTGCCCATACACTGCACGATTCTCGTACGAGAATCGCGGGAAATCCCGCGATCGTACGAGAATCGTGCAGTGTATGGAAGGCATGCGACCGTTTCTACTGTACGGTCGCACGTCTTCCATCGAACCAGCATGTTTGAAAACCCGCCGGGAATCGTACGATTCTCGGCGAGTTGGTGGCCTGCTGGTTCGACAACTGCCGAACGGGCCGGTGTGCGCACGCGCACACTGCCCGTTTGCAGTCAGCGTAAGCCCGCCCCTCATTACAGTCATCGCAAGCCCGCCCCTCAGGGGGCGTGGCTTGCGATGATCGAGAGTGCGATCTGCCCGTCCAAGATGGGCAGATCGTCCTTTTTTTAAATCCCTTTACAACCATCGCAAGACTAAGGTCTTGCGATGGTTGTACAGTGTATGGCCACCTTTAGCCAAATTTTTATTACTGTCTGTGTCCCAATTAGAGAGATTTCCCTCACCTCCTGTCAGTAGGAACTATGAAACACAATTTGTCTGAATTTAGATATCTATTCTTTTCTGATCATCTGTTTCTTAATCATTTCATTCTATATTGATAAACAGACTGTAATGACTCTGATCTGGGGTTTTTTAATATATCCCACACTACATGTGCTAGTTTTTATAGTATTAAAGAAGACTAGCCATACAAAGCCAAGCCACAAAGAGAATTATAAGTGGAATTATAAGTGGAAAACCTGACTTTGCTTTACTAAATAACAGACTACTGACTGAAAATGGACTACTTTTTTACATGTTGAAAGTGCAAGTGAGAAAATGTACCAGAGACAGACAAGGACAAAACTAAAAAAACTATTCCAGTGATGATACTAAAATAATAAAATACCTGAATTTATTGAATGGTTGAATTTTAAGGACTAAAGTGAGGACAAATAAACTGGTATAAAATAGGCTCACATCAAGTAGTATCATTATTGAAATGAATTCATCTAGCCGACTCCTGTACACTGTAAATGCTGACATATTCCCTCTGGCAGAGAGCTTGTGGTGCAGCATACAACCTCACATTAAAGTCAATGACTGTACACTGTTGTCACTGGCACTTCGTAAACCCACGGTGCGTCTGAGATTTTACACAATTTGCAGGAATCAAGGTTTGTTTTGTTTATTTATTTAAAACATTGTAACAATAGAATCAGTGGTAAGCAAAGTCTCCTACCTTCTGGAAATGTAGCCCGATAATCCACAGATTCACTAGATACCATTTCGGTGGTGGGACTAACGCTTCTTGCGCTCACTAGTCTGTCCAAGTGAGGGGTATGTACTCTGCCATCAAACAACACACGTTCACCACCTTTATCTGCAAAGATTGTCATTGTAATGTTAGCACAATACCCCAGAATGCATAGGGAATTGCCTTACATTGTATTTAGAAAAACAAGTTTACCTTTCAGTTGCTTTCTTTTTTTCACACAAATAAAGATTCCAAACAAGGCTAAAAGCAGGATCACACAAGACACAACTCCAATAAATATTCCAGTGTAGTTCTGATTTTGCTGAATCATCACTTTGCCAATGACAATGGATGAAACTTCTTGCAGTAGCTTGAAAATAAACAGACAGGTATTTATTTTCACTGTCTGTGAAGAAAATGCTGTATAAGCAGCAGAGCGTTTATACCATCAATGTGTTCATCTTATTGACTAAGGAAAAAGCAGTAGCAAACACAATTTGACTTTATCCACATTTTTTTTAATTATAAATTATCTACACAAAGCCCCTAGTGTAATTATATAAGCTTTACCACATGCATTTTTCTACATGTTCTAGTCTTCTTCCTGCCTAATACAAATTGCGTGAATGTACCACTCCATAATATAGCTTCGGTTCCTCTTTTCCTTATTAAAACGTCAACACCTTAAACTTCTGAACTTACAGAAAATGACAGGACATGTGGTGATGACCACATTTCTATAACCTCATCAACCATTCTCACCATTTGTTTTTCAAGATGATGTCTATTTATCTATTGGCTAGCTTGCAACCTATACCTAGACTATTTTATTCTTAAACTAGTTCTATAACATCCAGTCTTTTTAATAATTTGACTGTATATGTGTAATCTAATACAAAAGTGCATATATTCCATTCAATTTGATGTGATTAATAATAAACAAGTGAGGGCTGTTCCCCATAGAACGCAGGTAAACATTAGGCTCATTTTACAATAAACTTGATTGGTTGCAATAGCCAGTTTCCTTCGGTTTTTTTTTTTTACTGTGGTTTTTACTGCTATATGTTCAGTATGTTCTTTACATTGGAGAGCACTGAATAAACAAGACTTCTTAATGACAGCTAAAACATAACTGTTACTATGTTTTTGAAAATCCACCAGCCAGGATAGCTAGACTGGACAATTTACCCACAGCACCAGCTTGTGTGTTCAGTCCCATAGCTAATCAGTAGATTACACACAGCATGTATAGGAGGGTATAATAACCCCTGTATTTTTCCCCCTTCAGAGGCAGAACTGAAGCAAGAGAAAGCAACAGAAGCCTACAGAGAGTGGAAACAAAAAGAAAGCAGAACAAGCACTCAATAAAAGTACATGAGAAAAAGTGGGAGCAATGATTGAAAAGAAAAGAAGAAAAGTAAACTCATGCTCTAAGTGTGGGGGAAGCATTGTGAGGCATGTTTGTATGTGTTGGGAGAGATACTGGAGGTGAAGTCTAAAAATGAGTTACCAAATGTAAGTGTTTGAACCAAGTGACCGTATCCAGAAGAACAGTTTAGCCCAAAGGTGTAAATCACATAGATAATTAAAATGAAGCTTATTCCCCTACTTACTTTTGGCTCACATAAAACAGCAAAGAACTGATAACCTGGCATGACAATCCATGTAAAGACAGTTAAGAGGTGTGACTGTGGTGCTCTCTCAACTTTCCAACCAGAATGGTCTATCCTAAAGATACTATTATTTTCTAAGAACAATTATAGTATTGGAATTGTGATGAAAGGATATTATTGTTAACTATTCCCCCCCCCAAAAAAAAATCTTGATGGTAAAGATTTTTATTTTTGTATTTAAATGTTTCCCCTCTCTGTTGAATCAGATATTCTTTTTTGACCTCTGCTGTTACAACACACAATGAGCGTGCTAATTTGTTTTTATTAATTTTTTTCTGCACTCTGTAGTTCACTGTCACTTAAATAAGAAGATCTCATTCAGAAGTTACATATTTTTATTAGCAAACTTAATGATGCATACTCAAAAGTAGTGATTGCAAGTTATTTTGAGGTGCTGGGTATCAGATTTTAACAAGAAAAATCAACATTTTCTTGAATGGAAAAAAATAAGAATGTAAAAGCTTTTCTCCATGCTAGCGGTTTTTCCTGTTATCATTTGTCCCTGAAATTTGCTAGGTCTGATGTGTCACAAAATGTGTCACAATAGGCTGTATGCAATTAGTACATATTGCAACTATCTGCATGCCTGGTGGGAGGTATTCACAGTCTGAGCTGCACCTGTTTTGTACAGCTTCTTCAGTTAATTATAAAGGAGCTGTACACTGCTTGGAGATGACAGAAGTTTGTAATTCACAGCAGGTAAACTGCTTAATTATTTATGATTTTTGTTCGAATACATTTTGAAAAAGCAATCAACTGTAACAAAATGATTGCTCGACAAAATAATTACAAGTATGACAAAGGCACACTCTGACCTTCAAACGAAGGTATAAATAAATGCACACAGAGAACACAAGATTCGCAAATAATGAAACTTTTTGTGAAGCAACAAGTGATGTCATGATCATGTGGATCTTACCTCTATTTTTAACTCACTGTTGGACTTGATCAGATCAGTGGAAACAGCGCAAGAGACAAAATCCGAGTTCGTTTGGACAATTTCACAGCTCTTGTTACCAACCTTCAGTACTTCACCCCTAACAGCTTCCGAGTCAATATTATCTCCCTACAATCAAATGAGCAAAACAAATTGTACAATGCTAAAAAATGTATGAACTAATGCAAATCATATACATCATACAAATGAATATAATAATGGCATCAATAATGGTTAATGGCATCAGGGAACATGTCAACCATCAAAAAATATTGGCTCATCTACTAAAGATCATGGGTTGAGTAGAATATGGACTGTTAAATGACACAAAATATTGTCCTGGACTATGGTAGATCTAATGAGATGTATCTTGATATCCTCATATTTATACAAGATATTAAGGTTTCTAGATTACTTACAAGGCTTCCTTGAGTTGAAAGAAAGGGTATATGACATCAGTTGACTCTACAGTATGTGACCTTAACCATTGTGTTGTCTCAAGAAATGAGGTATGTAAATCGTGTTGCTGAGTTAAAGTGACATTAAACCCTCAGATTTTTAACATAAAACAATACTGTAATGTGTGCCTTACTGTAATCCATGGTTGTTTCCCTTCTCTTTGCTGCTCTTCCTTTTAAATCCGTATCTCTTCTCATGCTCTGCAGAACTTCTGTTTTGCAGCAGATTGCCTTGTCTCTGAAATGGATACATGGTGTCTGTGTGTAGGTTCACAACCTGAACCAGCACTACAGGAAGAGGCACTCAGCTGCAAAGGGAAGTTCTCCCCAAGCATGATAAGATATGAGGATTTAAAAGGAAGAGCAGCAAAGAGAAGGGAAACTACCATGGCTTACAGTAAGGCACACATTACAGTATTGGTTTATGTTAAAAAATCTGAAGGTTTAATGTCACTTTAAGTCGTACTAATTTTACTAAGCATGGAATTATCAGGGTTGGGTTGAATTTTCCTTTAATGTAGCAATGTTGTGAGCTAGAAAGATATCTTACTATGCCTTATGCAATGTCAATTATCCATTAAATTTTTCTGATATCTATACATAGCCTCCACTGCTTCTTCTTGTCACACATTCTCCAACAATGCAGATGTGGAGGACAAGTCAATGTGATTGCAAGCCTGAAGTGAATAGCCGAACAGTGTTCGGCTCACTTCACTTCTGATCGGTCATTCACTCGGCTGCCCTCGGCAGCTTTGTGAATAGACCCCTATGTATACATTGTGTAAAGATGACAGCTAGAAACAGTTCTTCTTCCTTCCTTCAATGATATGTCACCAACCTTGATATCGTGGAAAGCAAAGAGAGGTCAGGTTGCACCTAGGCCAAAATTGGCCTTGGTTAAATAACACCAATGCACTTCCTTGTGGAAATGTTGATGCCAGTCAAAGATCCAAAATAATCAACACAGAAAGATATGAAAAAAAGTTGAATATTCATTTTTGTTACTGTAACAGGAGCCATTGTAGGTATAGCCCTAGCGTTTATTGGTATACTTAATATAAAGCTATTTAAATAGGATTTTTGGTCAATTTTTTTAGATGTTTATAAAATGATCTTTTGGATACATTTATTGTCAGTGTCAGGGATACGACTCTGGTAGTATCTGGTGCCAAGAATTAGTGTAGTCCCTAAGCTAATGTACAAACAGCCCATAGACATCTATGCAGCTTGTGTACTCAGCTGGCCCAGCAAAAGGAAGTAAATTGGCTAGTGCTCTGTGCTTCCATGGGCTTGACACGTATAGTCTGTGGTGTTTTGTTAACCCTTAACTTGTCCTGACTCCCCCCCCCCAACACCCTAACAACTAATCTAACCCCCAATTACCCTCCTGTCTTACACTTAACCTCTCTTACCCTTAATATCTAATTTCTTCTCTAACACTTACCCCTATAGTAAGGCATTAACATTTAAATTCCCCTCCAGCTTTGGCGGCTTGTATACGTGTTCTATGGAAACAGACTATACTTCCATGCGCAGAGCAGTGGTTCTCCAGAATAAATGACAACATGCACATGAAGGATCTTACTTCTACCCTCTATTATTGTTCAGAAAAATTTCAACAAACTTGGTTGTTGGGTCAATATTCCTCATGTAATAGATATAGAATACCAGTCTTACTTCTGAAGTTCCGATTATTTCCGCTCTTTTCTCGTCTTTTATTCTGCTTTTTTGCTGAGGAGGACCCCGTCCCTTTCTTTCTAAACCACTACTAAACCATTAAGTCTAATAGTAATCTAACTTAACTTCTAAGTCCCAAGACTAAATAACCACTATTCTGCTACATGCATTCCTCTGCACTGATAGCATGCAGATTCCACATCAAAAGCATGCAAAACTAAGATGCCAGCTCCAAGACAACTTGATCTATAATTTTTTATATGTTTTTTTTATCATTATTTATATAAGATCTTTAATTTGTAAATAAAATATTTAATTCTGGGTAAATCCATGCCATGTATTTTGTAGAATTTACTAGACTTTCTTATATGAAAGTCCAGCACTACTTGCATACGTGTTTGGTGCCTCTGTCTAACCCTAAAATACTAATCCAGATAGGTCCTGTCTTGGCTGGGTGGGTGGGGGTGGGGGTGTTATTTCCTTACTCTGACTCATTCAGCTGTGGTTCTGAAACTGGACATCCCAATATTCAGGCCAATTTACTACATAGACTATTTAGCCTATTTAGAACTTCAGAAAAGTAAAAGTAATAAATCAGCCTTGAGCTTACTATCTGCTGGCTGCAAATGGTACAAATTAAATATACATATGCAATATTTAATATTTCCTGACTTAAAGGAAAAAAAATAGCCCTAAAAATAATAAATACAATTTTAACAAAACATTTAACATAGAATTCCCATTTACTGGACCATTTTTTTAATTATTTAATTATAATTTTTTATAATTATTTATTATATTATAATTTCTTAAAATTGTGAAAAAGTGTCAGGCAGGGCACTGGACTCTAGGGACAAAATTGAAGTGAAATAGTTTGATACATAAGTGTAATCATAGGACATTACATTGAATTGTGTGTATTCTGTGTATATTGCAACTTTTCACTTTTGAATTTCCCGCCGGCTGTGACGCCCGAAAACGAAACTAAAAGTTAGATGCCGGCATCTGACTTTTAGTTTTATTTTCGGGCCGCGTACAGCAGAGGACGCCGCAGGCTCGCAGGGACAAGGTGAGTGTTACTTTTCTCTGCAGCCCGAGTCTGGCTCGGGGTTACTGCTCCTGGTATGGAAAATTCACCCCGAGCCAGACTCGGGAATACTGCCAGGGAGGTTAAACTGCATATATAAATAAACAAAACAAACAAACACACCATTAAACAAGCAAGCTAATCACAATAGTTTTCACGAATGCACAGTCAAAATATTAATTTCAATATATACCTTAATTTCTAGGATGTTTCTATTACCCCTTGAAATAACGAGTGGCTTATCCATTGTTTTAAACACAGGGTTGTCTACAAAGGTAAATCCAGAGGCAGAAGAAATCACACCATCAAAAATGAAAAAAGCCTGTGTGACAATTGGTAGCTTCAAGTTTAACCTCTTCAGTGATGGGGTTGAACCGCAAACTAATTCCGAAATAGATCTGTGGGTACAGGTCTGCAAATAACAAATGACAAAAACATACAATAACCTATTATATATTGGTACTGTTAAATACAAACAAGCCATGGAAGCAGACTGTAGTTGTATTATAATAATGCAAGTTAAGTCAGTTTCTTAAAACTCTTAAAACAATGCACCGTGCTGAACCTCTCTTAACAATATATCAAACAAAAAGTGTGTCTAAATACTGAAAACAAATAAATATACCCCTATGAAAAAAGTCAAGTTAAGTCAGTGCCAGGATAAAATAGGGTGAAGTAATCCACAAAAATCAACAAGATTTCAGTCTTTGCACATATTAGAAATCAGCTATAAAGGTTTATTGCAGTTTCAGATATAGTGGGTATAGTAAAAGCATCTAAAACCCCTAAACAAAAAAATTATATATTCTAGCTTTCTGGTCCCCAGATGTAGCGGCTGGAATAGTTTACTTTTTTTTCAGGCAATTTTTCCTTTATTTTTACCTGGTGGTCCTGCCAGTAACACACATTATTTCCTAGGGTGGCAATGCTTCTTTACTGTACTGTATCTATAGAAGAGCAATGTTATCTATCACCCTAGGCTGCTCTATAGTTCACAAAAAAGAACTGAAAAGGTCGATAATAACGTTTGAGATTTCAGTTGTGTACAGGAAGTTACAAGAACACTGGATTTTTGGCAGGATCAAATTGTATCTTTTTGTACCCGCACAAAATGCATTTAGCCTAAAATAAATAAATAATGCAGCCACCACAGTTTTCTTCTTGGGTTCGAATATGCTTTAACATTTTATGTGTATGTGTAGAAATATTGTTACAAAACAATATTGTATATGGAATATCATTCTGTTAAACAGAAATGTGTGCATAATTTTGGTAACTGCAGTTTACCTTTGGGTTAAAAATAATTAGGTTCTTCAAAATCGTTAAACATTTCTAGTTGTGCTCAAGTTAACATTTTGATGTAACCACGACACGAAGATTATAGTAAAACAAGCCAGCTGTAACTATTGTATTAACATACCTAATGTCTTTGCTGACGTCTTTCCGAGCTGCAGACTGACCACAAACTACAACAATACACATTGTTAACCTTTTTTTAAACACATGCCACCAAAAGAGAGAAGTTTTTACAAGCTAGTCCACTTTATTAGCTTTACTACATAAGCTCCTAATGATGATTAGAGAGTTACTATAAGAAGAAGCAGCAGCTTATCCCAAACAAACTCCTTGCTGTGCTTAGAATTATGCAATTAATGCATATCTAATCACTTGACCAACCACACACAGAAATTACAATTAATTGCTACCTGCTGGGGACTTAATCTGTTTTAGTCACAATTGTATGAAAGAAAGCCTATTTCATTTTTAAAAAACACCCAATGTTATATATTAATTTATTGTTGATAACTTACCTACGCATTTATTCATTAGATAATATTTGTTTCATTATGTGTCTATTAAATTCTGGCCCCATACTCTTTGTGATTCTGTCTATTTTTAAGACATACATTATAGCCACGTATTAAAAATGAGATCTTCACACAAACATTTTAATGCATAATGAGCCAAAAGTCAATAAATATATCAGATATGTATGTAATACAATCTATCCTATCTATCTATCTATCTATCTATCTATCTATCTATCTATCTATCTATCTATCTATCTATCTATCATACAAGAATGCAATGGGACCCAGGGAGATGTGGTGCAAGCGAGCATGGGCAGATCTCTGAATATCCAAAAAGTGCTCAGACATTAAAAAGATCCAGGACTTAACACGGTTTGTGCTCTGGCAACCATGTCTTCAACAGATTTGGCCATACTTGTAAATCACAATACAAACATATATAATCACCATCTAAAACAAAAGATGTCTCCATCATTGTATGACTAGATTTTCTACTCTGCCTGTTTAATATCTAAAATAATATTTATTTGGTTGTTCATGGGAAAATTACATTTAAAATGGAATGTTTTTCCTCCTCGATTACCTTGCATGTTTTTCCTTCAGAATGTATCTGTAATATTTATTCTATACATCTGCACAATAATTGTAACGCATAACAGTATTGGGATAAATATGATCAATGTACATGGACACAATGGGGATGATTTACTAATGTAGTTGAGCGTGTTCACTTAGTATAGTGAAGGTTCTCTTAGCAGAGTAAGCGATTATTGAGCTTACTAATTAATTTGAAGCTGCTCTCATTTTAAATATCTAGTCATGAGGAAGGGTAATTAAAAAAACAGGAGAGTAAATTTTTAGTAAATCAATCCCACACACACATATAGACATAAGACACATATGAACATGCACGTATATTATGTACTCTGTCTGAGTATGTAGTTTCAATTATATTTGCATAGCATTAACTTACTATCATATTGTCACATTGGTGCAACAAAATGTCTTGGGTCTGTAATATAATATGAAGTGAAACTGGAGCTCACACATTATAAATTACCAATAAAAAGCCACAAGGAAATGTCTTCAGGACAGCAAACTTTTCATTGTGTACAGATCCAAAGGACAGCTTACTCATCGGAGACATGTGGTAATTGTACACTCCTCCAGTGAAGTCCATATAAGAAGTTCAACAAAAGAGTTGTATATGCCTTTGAACTTTATTACCCCTCAAGCCTCAGTTGATCAGTCACCAATGACCAATGTGTCAGTATAATTCAGTGTACAATTAAAAGATTGGGGGTCTGTCTGGTCATGTGATTAGGACATTTTTATGTTTTCTGCATCTTTTACTAATATATACTGTATGTATGACTTTCCCACCTGACATGATAGTAGTCTTCTCAGATATTGTTGGAAATGTGCACTGGTATGTATGGTGTGAACAACCCTTTCTCTTGACTTTGTAAAAGTAAACACAAATTACTAAAGAAATCATAGCATGATTGTGGCATGCCAGGATGGTGTCAACCTATTCAAAGAGTAGAGCGTGCTCATTTAGCAAAGTTAATGTACACTTTGCTTAGTGAATACACGACTTAAGAAGGGAGTTAAGAAGGAAGTTATCATCTTTATGATAAGAGGTCATTAAAGCCCACATGCCCAAAAATATACGACTTTTACACTGGGACACTGGTTTCATTTTTTTAAAGGCTGACTAAAATGTTTTTAAAAATGCATTTTTGGTTGTTTACCCTTAAGTAAACAACATTTTTAAATGTTGTAAACAAACATGTGATCACCATGATTAGCTATTATGATTATCACATTATCATGAACCATGCTTATTATTCCTTTTTTTAAAAATATTTAATCTTTATTTTTTGTTATTTATCAAACATTTAACAACTTTTAACAATTGTTGAGGCGTCCCATATATTTCATATAAACTGTGTACATATACATATGTTAACCATGCGCTTTCCTCTGTGGTTCTCCTCCCAATATTAATCTTTTCTCTCGTATTAAGGGCATATACTAGATGGGATCCCAGAACCACAGAGGTGAGTAGCTCAACAACCTCAACCATATACCTAAACAAAAAAAAAAGGGAAGGGGGATCTGTGTAGATGTGTTTTAAGCTTGGAAATTTGTTTATAGGTTATATGTGATCGGCCAGATGAAGAGTCTAATGAGGGATCCATATGTATATTAAAGTCCCCCGCCAATATCGTTTTACCTACTTGAAAATCCCTCAAATAACTTAATATTTTAATTAAATACGGTACCTGTGATTGATTTGGACCGTATAATTTTGCCAGAGTGTATATCTGTTGCCCTATCTCTCCCTGTAGGAAGATGTATCCCCCGGCCGAATCGGTCTTCATTTTCAATACCCTAAATGGTAGGCGCCTATGGATTCCAATGGCGACCCCTTTGTTTACTGGATGGTGACGTACTGTAGTACCATATGGGGTATTGTTGGGAATACAATTTAACTTGTGACGTGTGTGCTATATGTGTTTCTTGAAGAAACACTATATCCCCGTCTAGCCTTTTCAGTTCTCTATATAGAGCATGTCGCTTCGACGGGGTATTTAACCCCCGAACGTTATAGCTAATTAATTTGATGTCTTCCATTGATTGACACCTTGTTTGCCTCTCTCCTCATAGCCACCACTAGGATTCTCTGCGTTACTAGGAAGGGGTATAGGTATAGACATGGATAGGGGAGGGAATAAAGTCTGGGAAGAAAAAAAAAATATAAGTTATAGAGTACACTACATTTAAACAACATATAAACAAAGAGAGGATCGAAAAATAATCCCCGTTCTCGATCTTCAGTGTGATATGTCTTATAGACAGAACACTGAGGTACCACTTTATCTAAACAGGTTCTCTTGGAACCAAATTCACAACTTGTGGGGTACGTGGCAGGATCACCTAAGGGAACATCGATCCAGCCGACTAGTAATGCGGGTATTATGCCCGGAGCTCAGAGCTCTAGCTAGACACGTCTGTTCTCAGCCATGTCCAGGACACGCCCCGATCGTTAGTGAGAGGCCATCATTGTCAATGTTGCCGCATTCCTTCGATGTAGTGGCTGAATGAATTCCCCCCCCCCCTTTTATTATCACAAGGTGATCCTACCAGTAACACACTTTCTGTCCTATAAAGTGTGAACTGCATCTATGGAGGATCAGTTTTGTCACTCCAGGACAGGTAGTGTGTTAGGACTACAGGACATCTCCTCATCTTCTTTTGTCCATAACATGGGGGTATTCTGTAGTCCTAACACACTTCCTGATAACATTAAAATAACACTGCAGAGTGCACAGGACAGCACTAAATTTCTGTCTGGATCATCGTATATTTTTCCACTTATTAAAAAGAACACTTTCAATTGTATATCCAACAGACCGAAAGGGAGCAAATAAGAGAAGTTAATTGTTAAAGTTTACATACATCGTAGTTGTTAGGTTCTATCATATGTGGGGTTTTCTAAATATATAACAATAAGGAGCTGATTCACTAAGTAGATGTAGTTTGATTCTTCTGCAAAGGATTAGTTAAAGCAAGCATTGGTTAGACCCAGCATAAA